TTAACTTTTCAATTTCCTAGTTAAAAACAAACATACAAAATTTGAAGAAATCAAAGTTACTAATTGAGAGAAAAAAACACTTTATCTAATCAAATGTTGGTCTTCCTACTTTTCTAATCTTAATATCAATCTTCCAACATCAATAACTCTCTTTTGCACTATATACTTGCTTTAAAAAATTGTACAAATTTTAGAAATGAAGTTAAATATTAGTTCACAATAATACACTCTAATCCAATTGGGAGATTACTCAAAATTATAGAAATCTTCATTGACCCTCAAAACCTAATTTTTAAGACCTTTATCTACTTGAAGTTCAATAATCTTTGAACTAATTGTCTCTTAAAGCTCAAATTTACTATACATATTTAACACAACTAAATACACAAATCCACAAATTTCTACTTGTAATTTAATACAAACTCTATAAGTTCTTCAAAATCTAGATTCTTTTTTGTTCCATAAAAAATAAAGTCATCTATAACAACTCTTACTTTGCAAACCTCTCACAAAGTCATTATTTACTCAAATCATTCAAAATTAATGTTTAAAGAAACCCTTTTAATTTTCTTCTCTAATTTTACTCTTTGATCAACAAAAGAATCCCATACTTGCTATAACCACGTGGTTTTGTGCCTTGGGGTCTTGTTTCAACTTTGGTTTACAATAAGACTTTTTTAGATATCAATCTAAGATATTTCTAGGTATATTTTGTTGAAAAATATTCTTTAATATTATCTAAAAATATATTTAATATTATATTTGCTATTTATTTTTTTTTCTTATTTAAAGTCCTACAAATTTGATAAAAAAAATATAAAAAAAAATAGAATTAACAATAAATATTTTACTAATTATAATTTATCTATGTTTTCCAAAATAATTTTCTACTATATTTTTAATTCAACTCTTATATAATATAATCTTCTTCTTTTTTTTTCTTTTTTTTCTATTTTTTATTTTCTTTCATCCAATTGACATGTTACAATTCAATATCCATCAAACACACTTAATATACAAAGAATCCACCAAGATCAAATTGACAACCACATGTACACACAACAATAGTTCTAATACTATTCCATTGTCTTTCACAAAATGTATTGAAACATCAAATTAAAAGTGTGATTGGAGAAACTAAGTGCATGCAATTAAGTTGTTGAAATAAAAAAAAAAAAAAAAAAAAAAAAAAAAATCCAATAAAGTATAAATTTACTATTGCTATAGAAGAACAACAAAAATAGAGAAAGAAAGTAGATTTTGCAGCAAGTAGGGTAAAAAGAAAGTTTTATTTTACCCCACCATTTACTAAAAAGAGAAGCAAGAAGTGGAGTCGATGCACTTCCTATCCATACTTTCCACCCATCCATGCATGAGAATAACACTTGATTTTTTTTTTTCTAAAATCATGCACATCTCTCTCCTATTGTCCTAACAAGATGCATTCTCCATGGAATTCCACGTTGACATTCTCCCACTTGCTTCTCCATTCTCCAAACATTTATCTCCAATTTATCTTCTTATTCAAACGCTCCCTACTGTTTGGTTTTCGTCTAATTCTCATTTCCCGTTCCAGCTACCAACATGCAGGCGCCATACACACACACACACACACAAGTCATGATACAGCCCAACAAGGAATTCGGGGAAACCATGCCCACCCCACACGAGGCAGGCAAAGTCCAGTCTATAATCAATCAGCAAAACCATGTTTGCACATCTCACACTTTTCTTGCAGTCTTTTCCTCACTATCCCCCACTTGTCCACATTCCTGCAGTGTCCCACTCATGTCAACAACTACGTTAAAAGAGCTAGGAAATCCAACCTCAACCTCTTACAAACAAGTTACTCGCAAGTTTTTTGTTTTGTTTCTTTTTTCTTTTTCTTTTTCTTTTTTGTTGGGTCCACCCCAGCAGTGATGTGTTCAACTCACAAGTACCTCGGAGGGAAGGGGGAAGTGAGCTCCACTGGCCCAACAACGCATGAGGAGCGTGGTCTGATTATTGTTGAGCCGGGAGGCTGAGACGGCTGCCTCGGTTGGGACGCTGCCGAGTTTTCGTGTGCTCCAACAAGACTGCAGAGGCACAAACGCACGCACCCACGCATCCAATGAAACGGAACGAAATGGAACGCAGCGAAACTCTTGCACTGGCGATGGTGGGTGAAGCAAAACACAAGCTTTCCACCAATGATGTAAATGGTAGTTTTTAGAGGGGGTTGCAGTGGCACTGGGTGCGGCAGCCAGAATAGAATTGTCCCTCACCCCTGCGAGCGACGACACGACGTATGTGGATGGTCATCCCCACTTTTGCGCTGCACACAATGCTGACTGGTGTTCCAGCGTCAGTCGATCGCCGTCATTGCCCTGTCTCACATCTGAAACATAACGTTATATCCTCCCTCAGCTCGTCGTTGCCTAGAAGCAATTTGGAGCTGCGGAGGATGGAAACTCATTTCTCCAGCGAGTAGCGCGGATCTGCTCTGTGTGTTGGATCTTTTCAAAGCTGGTTAAAAGAGCTGTACTAGTTCGGTTTGCTGTGGAATCTTGTCGTCATTGCTGGAAAACTTCGCAAGGTGGAGCAATTTCCACTGTTAAGGTGGTTTAGTTCTGAAGGTGGGGGAGGGGAGGAGGGGATTTTGGTGATTTTGTTGGAAATTTAGAACTGAGTGGATCCATTCCAAGACGGAGTACTTCCCAGCGTCGGGACGGAACCATTTGTTTGTACCGGGTCCGACCTACATTCCTGAGCGCGTGTTGCAGGCCATGAGCCGCAACAACGAGGACCATCGATCTCTGGCGTTTCCCATGCTCTCAAAATCCGTGGTTGAGGATGTAAAGCAGCTGTTCCGCACTCAGACGGCCACCTCTGTCATCTTTCCTGCCACAGGTAATGAGGCTCTTTTTGTTTAAATTGATCCTTCACGTCTCGTCGCCCAATCGCAGGGTCCTCTACTGTTCGTGCTGAATTTCAGAGCCGTGCCGAATACACGATCGAGTTGGCAAAATTGGAATATTTTTGGGAATTTCTCCATTCCTTACGTTGATGGTTCATCCGAGTGTCCGATGCCTTGCTCATATCCTTGTTTTTTGGATACAAAAAGCATGCTTTCTGTTTTCTTCAGTTTTCGGTAGTTGCATCAGTTCTTAACCAGTTAGATGTGGCCACCACCTGGTTAAATTTGAACCTTCTTCGGCTGATTTTCGGGGAATGTAGCTAAATATTCTCGTTGCCCCAGTTGCGAAGACTTAAGTTGCTCCACATTGACAGAATTGAGTGATGTTGGATATGAATGTTCTGAAGGTACTGGATCATGGGAGAGTGCGTTAACCAACATGTTGTCACCGGGAGACAAGATTATCGCCCCCCGGTTGAGACAATTTGCCGTGCTCTGAATAAACCTCATGAAGCGTCTTAATTTCGACGTGGATGTCATCGACTGCGAGGGGGGCGAGGGTGTCGATTTGGACATTCTCAGGCAGAAGCTGGAAGCGGATCAGGCGCACGTCGTGAAAGCTGTCTGCGTCGTGCACAATGAGACATCCACGGGAGTCACAAGCGACATTGGCGAAGTCCGCCAAGTTCTCGGTATCGATCTACTCCTTCCAACTCGCCACCATCAAATTGTCACATATCAATGTAAGGCTAAATGAGGTCGAATAAATGAAACTTACAAGGTAAAAAAATAAAAATAAAATGTCATGAGCAATTCGGAACCGTGATGATGTTCGCAGATGAGGCAAGGCACCCCGTATTGTTACTCGTCGACGGAGTCTCTTCTGTGGGCGCAATAGACTTCCGAATGGACGAATGGAAAGTGGACGTTGATCTCACCGGATCCCAGAAAGCTCTCTCTCTCTCCCCACCGGGCTTGGAATCGTATGCGCAAGTCCGAAAGCAATCGAAGCTTCCAAACATGCCAAATCTACACGCGGCTATTTCGACTGGGGAGAATATATAAAATGTTACAAGTCGGGGAGTTACTGGCCTTACACTCCGTCCGTCCAGTTGCTGTATGGACTACGAGCCTCCCTTGATCTAATCCTCAAAGTAGAGGGTCTAGAGAATGTTATCGCCAGACATAGTCGGCTTGCCGAAGCAACCAGGTATGGCCACCAATTCACACCCTCACAACATGCTTTGCAGTGAGTAAGTAGCCCCATGGGAGCCGATGTTCGCTTCGGTGCTTGAAATGCAGGCAAGCAGTAATCGCATGGGGACTTACCGTATGCGCCAAAGAGCCCAAGTGGCACAGTACAGTTGTGACCGGCGTCGTGGTACCCCCTTGGCTGAACAGCAACGATGTGATCAAAGTTGCGTGGAAGAAGTACAACTTGAGTCTCGGTATCGGTCTCGGCAAAGTTGCGGGAAAGGTCTTCCGAATCGGACATCTCGGATACGTAGATGAGGTGCGCTGAGATATGCTTTGCTGAATTGCATTCAGTCTCCGTTTCGATCGAAAGCGAATATCTCCTTTTAAACCCTCTTTCTGGATGGTCTGTACAGCTACAACTGCTCGGCGCTCTAGCGGGTGTCGAGCTCGCTTTGACGGATGTTGGATATCCTGTCACACTAGGAAGTGGTGTAGCTGCAGCGCAAGCAATTTTGTCACGGCAAACCCCTTCTATCGCTTCCCGACTTTGAATATAAGACATCGGTTCAACTTCCGTGGATGACGACTACATCGACATCACCGAGCCATAGTAGAAGTTTCAACACCGGACTGGACAATGGAAGGAGTTGATTCCAGCAGTGACTTGAAGCACTCTGCATGCCTGCATTATCTCCACTTCGGTAAAATGTGTAGAAAGTTAATTGCACTCTGCAAATCAAAAGCCTTGAGTATTGATCAACAATTTGGGTATTCTCGTAAGATTTGTACACAGCAAAGTTCTCCCCCACTTGTTCAGTCAGAGACTAAAACTCGTACACCAATATCCATAGTAATTACAGGCATTTCAACTCTGTGGGAGTGGAATCTACACATCACAACAACCATGGTCAATGAAGTTGGCCATGTTAAAGGGCCCAAGTTTACAAGTGAATCTGGTAAGGGCACAACTTTGGATATATGTACATGATCATAAAGATGATCCTGAATGCATGCTTTGCAAGCTACTATGGTTCAAGAAATTGGGATCTGTATTTTCCCACACAATTCTGTCACCGTATACCATGGTCACAAGCGTGCACAGAAAAACCAGCGGAACACCCACAATGCATCCGTTAGGAAGCAGGTTAATGAGAGTCTGCACATCAGCGAAGAAACGTGTGAAAAAGAATATCAGGATTGTGTCTACGTTGAGAAGCTACAAGGCAAACCTGGACACTCTAAATATTCAACTCAAAATATGCGAAAACAGACCTAGGGTGCAGCAAATAAAATGCTAAATGTAATACCATCATCTTGAAAGCTTTGAGAGCAACATACCAAGAATGATGCACCAAGATGCATGACGGGCACAAATAGCTTTTGAGAACCAACGCCATGTGTGTAGGCATTGAAGGCAATGACCATCGAGAAGGTATGAAGAAGAAAAAATGCTAAAGTCAACAAGGCTGCACATTCACAAAACAACCCCCAGCAAGAAACACATGTAAAAATGAGAACAATATTTTGAGAGTTTTTGACGAGATAATCCTACACTTAAACTGCACACCCTCACGAATTTCTTTCTTTTTTCTTTTTCTTCTTTTTTTTCAAAATAACCAGCTCGACCCCATCGTATACAGAGGGATCAATACCTGATACAAGGAAAAAGGGCATCTCCTTGCAGCTTTCAGTGTAGTAAGTAGCTGGACCAAAAGCTGGTGCAATGACACTCAGGCCAAAGAAGATGGCGTGAGCTACTCCATGGCCAACCCCGCTGGCTGTTGAACAAGCGAAAAAAGTTTAACTACAGATCTTTCAGGTGTTCAAGTATCCATGAAGTCAATCCATGCGATTACGAGTGTGTCGTCAACAGCACTAACTCAACCAAGCAACCAAACATACTGTAGCATAAAGACAACGACCATGCACGAAAGCAACACAACAAAATAGTGTGTCACAACGAACCAAAAGAGACTTCAAGTCTGTCCACAAAGTTAAGCTGGGGTTTCGAAAGCTTTACTGCTAACACGTTCAGATACTTCTCTGTTTTCCTGCAAGCTTAATATGCAGGAAATATTCAGCGGAAGCTATGGCTTATGTCTGGGCAAACAGCATCAGAGACCTCGCTTATAATCATGTTGCATGCTAAGCCATCGCTCAATATGAAATTCAAAGAAATACGAAGTAAGCCAAATAACACGAAATGATGCTCGGGTCTAGCAACTTCTAACCCCTAAACTAGTATTAGATTATTGGGAATGACTGCCAAAACACAAGACTTACAAGAAGAAGCGCCAGTAGAAAATCCTAGTAACCTCTTGGATAAAAACAGCAGTGGCCAACATCAGCAGGAACACCCACGAAGGGCCGGGAAGGAACGCCCTCCAAATGATCGCAGCAGCAACAAGGCTCACCAAATATATCAGAGCACTGCAAGAAGTTACACAATTTTTCGGATTAACTTCAAAAGCTAAGTTCCGCACAAATTTCCTTTAAAATTTCCAAAATATGAAACCCTAAATCCGAGAAAGCCATAACAAACGACTTCGATAGCTCGTTCGAAACAGACGCTACAATTCGCTTCTGGCGACAAAAGTAATCAGGCTCGGTGCGTAATCGTTTCAAGAGCCGACACGTTCAGAGGGAATTCCACATTGCAGAACTTAAACGCAACACAGTCTAAGCTGAATTCATGAACCTTCGCACACGGGGCAAAATTACATCACGTAATAAAGGATGGGAAGGTTCAACCCACCTGGCTAGCACCGTGAGGGTGAGGAACGGCTTCGGTGCAATCGACGAGAAGAAAATGGTGAGAGCTGGGCCCAAGGCTATTAAGAAATAGCCTAAACCAACAACCACACCCATCCTCTCAAACTTTTTGCTCTCTTCTTCCCCGACCTCGATGCCAGCTTCGTCAAATCGATCCCCCAATTCCTCACCCCCGGAAAACTGTCTCTGCAAAGGCTCTTCGGTGCAATTTTCTTCAGAATCAGCTTCCTCAAACCTGCCTTATCACAAAACTGACGAACACGACTTCTCACAAATTCCATTTTCGCAAAGACGAAGTAGGAATTCTCCGCATGGATGGCTGCCTCCAGGATACAAGGAACAGATGGCCATGATGTCTGCAATCTCACGAACAGATGTTGAAACATGCACATACAAAACCTAAGTCAAAGCCAAGCAAGCAAGATATTCTTCCTTTCTTTTTGGGGAAAAGTGCAAAATTTCCACTACAATATAATTTCTTGATTCAATTCTAGCTAGTTTGTTAATAGTTGCCCCTGCTATTCAGCCTATGAACTTCATCTGCCAAATTAGGGTTTAGTGCTCTGGGTTTGGAAGGCTTGCAAAGTGCCATGAAAACACTCTTTTTTCTCCTCAACTTCGTAGCAGAGCATGTGTTTGCAAAAAATCACAATTTGTGATTCCATTCCAGTGGTAAAATACTTGATATATGTATGTATATATATATAAAAGTAATGCTGAAACCCAGGTGACCTATTTCTCTGGTAGTACCTCCCAGGTTAACAAATGCCCTGTAATGTTCAAATGAACCTTGTGAAAACTACGACTATTCAAAGGAATTCTTTTGCAAGTTTTTCACATTTATTACACTTTTGGGCGTAAAATATGTGTAATGGCATCATTTGGAAGGACTTTTTTGATGTTTCAGTGTGTTGTAATCTCCCACATTTAATTTAAGAAGACATTCAATTTAAATAGACCCATGTTTTTACTAAATCGACCCACCTTTGATGAAGAAGAGTGGTTGCAGATGTAAAAGTGGAGAAATAAATGTAGAAGTCGTTTGTACTTTTCATGAAGGATAAGATGGGTGGGTTTATTTAGTAAAATCTTGGGTCTATTTAATATTCTCCTAATTTTATCATAATTTTACCCTAACCTTGCATGTAGTAACAATGACCCCACCTTCTTGCTTGTTGTTTTTCAGTACTAGTCTTTGCATCTGCTTGTCAGTGTTGTATCATTTCAGGGTTCAAATTTGAATTGGTGGGTTTGTAATTTTAGTATAAGTAGGAATGAAGTTTTAGTTTTTCTTTCTTTTTCATTATTCTTTTCACCATTCGTTTCCTGTTGCGAGCACAAATACCTCACACTGATATATTTTGTCATGACTTCAAATTCATCGATCTCTCTTAAAGAATCACACTTTCGATATACAAATTAAAATGTGAACAAGAATCTAAAATCACACATACTCATCTCAATTTTACACAAGTTGAAAATCTTCTCAAATGTGTTGTTAAAATTTTTAATTGTATGTTTTTTTCCACAAAAACATTATAATTGGATGTACAAACTAAAATTATGCACTAATTTTCAAGAGTGTATTTACTGCCTTCAATAATATGCATAATCTACTAAAACAAATCATGGTTTTCATAAAAAATTCAAATTATTTACGGTTTTCATTAAAAATAATAAAAAAAAAAGTAAGGGGAAAAATGTACTAATCTTATTTTTTTTAAATAAAAAATCTATGAGGTTTGGTAAACTTTAAAAAGGAGTGTGGTATTAAGATGTCCAATTCAAAGTTGTAAAAGTTGGCAAATTCCTGACTGGTCTATTTGACTTCTTTCTTTCAGCTTTTTAGTTGTATCAGTGAGAGAATCAAGTAGAAGGAATTTTTGCTTCTTTTTATTTTACACTATTTGGCTATTTATTTTTATTTCTTTAAAAAAGCATGTCAATATAACGTTGGTAATTTATCTTAAGAACATTAAACAACAAATCTATCACTACTACATTGAAATAATGGTATCCTTTAAATTAATCATTGTAACAAGTTTAAAAAGTAAAAAGTACATCATATTTGAATAATGGAGTTTTTACATCTTTGGATTAAGATGCAAAAAAAATGTGTAGTAATATACACATGAAAACTATAAAAAATCTGATTGAATCCTACATATTAAATAATTGCAAAAACATATGCCAATAGTAATATAATTTATTTGAATCATTTTTTATAGCACACTTATTATATAAATATAAAATAAAATTGGAGTAATAAAATATTTTTATACATCATATAAATTACAAAGGTTGTAAAACAAATCAAACGGAATTAACAATTAATATTTTCAATACACTGTTCACTATAAAAATACAAAAGAAATTGATTGAGTTCTTTTTATATTTATAATTGACTAATTTAACAAAAATAATTATGATCAAATAATGATTAATATATTTGCAACTGACATTAATTTCTACATCGTGATAGAAATTTATAATTTTAAATCTAATTGCATGTTAAATTAGTTATTATCAAAATATATATTGTATTCATGGTGTTTCTGAATAAACCAGATAAAAAATAAAAATAAAATCTGTTTAGCATCTACTATTAACATAGCAACTAGGTTTGTACTCTAAAAAATATATTCTGAGAGAATATTATTCAAATAAACATGTGATTGTAATACACTTCTTATTTGTAAATTAGAAAGTGCCTTAAGAAAAATTGAAATCAGGAATAGATTTCTCATGTTACTAATATACTCATAAACGATTTCACAAATTAAAAATACAAACTACATATTTAACAATGTGATTTGAGGATAAATTACTGTAATATACTAGTCGACATATACATAATTTTAAACATTTATTTATATATTTTTTCAAAAATATGAAATGAGTATATATTAGAAGGTTAGTTTTATTTAATTTTATTATTTGTAAAATATATTATTTTTTAAAATTATTTCAAATAATTTGTTAGTTCCAATATATATGTATGTGTGTGTATATTAATATAAGAACCCCTTACTTTGTTTTAGAAGTAATTTATTAAAGAAAATTATTAATATATATATATATATATAGATATTTAAATATTAAAAAAATGTATATTCAATATTTGAAAAAGGATTTTTTTATTGAAATATATTATTAAGTTTTATTAATTTAATCGTTTAATAATTGTAGTTTTGAATTTTGGTTTTAATAAGGGAGTCATTTATTTTATTTTTTTATCTTGTTAAATTATGAATTAGAAGAAACCTTCAAAGAAGCGAGAAAGATTAGGATTTTGTCACCTATAATGATTTGAGAGCAATAAAGAAGAGTATGAAGTTCAACATAATATTTGTCAGTGTATTGGGTCTATACAAAAAATCTCAAACTTGAATAGATGTACAAGAAAGATATGTGATTTTTGAATTTTGTATTAATTTGACAATGCAATTTGGGCATATTTAATTGTATACACAAGGACATACAAGTACTTGGTAATTCAAAATGAGTTATAATTTCATAGATATTTTCAGATGTATAAATTAGAAAAAGAAGAAAAATTAAGGCATGAATAGAAGAATTCACAACCAAGTTATATACCAAGTTTGAGCCAAAGTTAATATTTGGAATAGGAAATTTAACTAATAAAGGTCTTCATTAAACTTGGAGTTGGAATCTAAGTAATATTAGCAAAACAATTGTTAGAATATCTATTAATTTGTGATTTGAGATTTGATCTTGCAATATTATAAATAATTAAAGAAGATAATGGTTTGTAAAATTTGAAACAAATTCAACAACTCAATTAGAAAATAAGTCTTGTTAGGGTTCAACAATTAAGATTCATATTTAAACTAAAAAATAAATTTTTAAATTGAATATCTTTGTTTTATTTTTCACATTATTAGATATTATTTAAAAGATATAAATACATATATATCAAAATATCAAAAATATAAATAAAATCTATTTGGAATAAATATTTTTATTTTAAATCTACAAACTAATTAAAATAACATCAATTATTACAATGACTAATGTAGGAGAATAGAAAATTATAATAAAGATTTTTCATTCATCCAAAAATATTATCTAAAAAAATTTAATAGCAACTCAATACATTTTTCAGATAGGAATCAATAGGAATCTAAAATATTTGCTAGGCAATGAACTTACGGAAGCACAAATGCAAGAATAAATAGATGAAACTTTGAACTATTGCAACAAACAAACACCACTATCTTTAGAACTAAAACATACACACATATAAGAGGTCATGGAAGATCTTCTTATTTTTCTTTTTCTTTTCTAATTTTCTACTTTAAATGACAACTTTTATAATAAAACTCAAGAACCTCAAGACTATCACTACTAGAATTCATTCATTACTCTAAAATTGACACCAGATGACAGAAACACAAACTGAGAAAACAACAAAAAATAAATGAAGTAAAAATACAGCAGTGCGTGGTATTATTACATGGGCACTGACTCTTCTTCCCTGCAGTGCTAAAACCCATATCTATTAGCAAATCAAAAACCCTAAAATTGATGCACCCAGTATCAAAATCCATTCCAAGGCTTTGCAGCTCCGATGACTCCAGCAGCACTCCACCGAAGATTGTACACAATTGGCAGAGCCGGGCCTCGAATTCTGCTTTCGCAGCTCATCACTTAATTAATGTTGGTGTTTGTTGAGGTTTCCAATGGGAAGGGTGAGGAAAGAATTCTCAGGTGTAAGGATTCCAGCGAGGGCGATGTACCACGCAGTCACGGCGGTGAATATGCCGAAGAAGCCACTAGCCTGAACTTTGACACGCAAAATCATGAGAAATTAGCGAGTTGCTACGTATAAGACAGTGATGTGTGTGATTTTAGGATTCAGGTAAGCGCATGAATGAAGTTGAGGGGAGGAATTGTTGGGTATGAGGTGTAGAGAGGCAGACCCTTTTGATAGGATGAGCCGATGAACTCCGAGATGATGATCAACGTGAAGGTGAGGGATAGGAATAACGCTGTGCTGAGCGCCACGCTCGCCCTGAGAGTTAGAGCAGCAAGCAGCATCGCGAAGGTGAAAATAGTCCCGGCGAGTAAAAAGATCGCATTAGCTCGACGAATGTCCTGCTCGGGGTCGGTGTGCCCGTCGTGGACTCCAAACCAAGGGATCAGAGTGGCGGTGTAAGAGAGCTGGAGAGCGCCGAAGGAAGAGAACGTGGTCGCCGCGAAGGTATTCCCTCTCTTCAATTCCCACATCCCGGCTAGGAATGCCACTGTACCACCGTAAAACGCCGCAAGCCCTGTGACAACGTTAGGCGGCGACGACGGCGAAATGCCGAAGAGGCCTGCATTTTAGCACGACTGCACGAAGGTCGTCAGCGCGAAACCGCTCAGCCCCAAGGGCGCAGGGATGGCGATGCCGACAACAAGCGACCGAGGCAAAGTCTCGTCAGCTCGATGATGAATGTCTCCACAGACACGCTCGCCTGCACGACGGAGCCCTCTGAAACGCTGTGAGCAGAATTCATGAAAGCAGGAGCGCATGAGCAAATCCACCTCCGAGAAATCAAGGGAGTGTCGATGGAATCAGGAAAAGTCGACAGTGCTAACGCAATTGACAGAAACGGCATGGAATCGAGGCGGGTCAGGGAGCTATGCAATCAGATAGATAGGGTGGGGCTTATTGTGTTGAGAGTGTGTGTGTGTGCGTGAGTGTGAAAGCTAAGGGGATTCTTCTTCTTCTTCTTCTTCTGCTTCTTCGGCGACAAGGATTCGGAGCGAGGATCTCGGGGAGGGGGGATACTGACGGTTGTGTCCTCCGCAGCGCCGTCAAGCACTTCGGCGTCGGCGTCTGCGTCGGCGAGTGCAAGACCACCACCCGCGCTTTTCCTTTCCTTTTCTTTCCACTTCTGCATCTTTCCCTTTACTTCCCACTCCACTTTTTTTTTCTCATTTTCTTTTTCTTTTTCTTTATCTTCTTTCTGTTCTCTTTTCTTTTGTGTAATTTGTTGGTATGGAAGGAGGTTCGTTCCAATGCTATTAATTAAGTTGAAAATTTCAAGCTGGCATGGATGTGGTTGTGTCCCTTGTTAAGCAGCCAGTTAAGACTAGAGTTTCATTTTTATCATGAATGTTGGGTTGGTGAAAGAAGCTTCTTTAGGTACCTGTAATTGTGATTTAATGATCTATATTTGTCAAATTTGTTTGGATTTTTTTTTCAATTTGATTAGAAGATTTTTCTATTTTCATTTGGATTTGTATTTTGATCAATTAATTGTAGTTGGAAAGAAGTGGTTTTGTAAAACATAATTGTTTATAAACAATCATCAATTATTTTAAGTAATAATTTCTTTACTTTAATAAATTTTAAAGAAAATATTGAAGTTTGATTGTTTATTTAAAATTTAATATTGAAGATGCATTAAAGAATTTTTAATTATTGATGTGCACCAATTTTATATGTAATTTTTGGTACGATACTCAAAACAATATTGTAAGATTTATTTTTATTTTACAAAAACAGAACAAAACAAAACTTGAATTGCATGTCAAATTTGTGGTTAAATAAGAATATTTTTATAATTGATTGTATAGAAGATAGATGATAATAATAATAAATAAGATAAATCATTCAAATTAGCTTAAAAAAATTAGAGTCTTAAAAAACCTCTCTTGAGTTATTAATACTTACAAACATATTTGATTTTTTTTGAATTGAAGGTTTCAAAAGTTAAGAAAATAATAAGAAATAATTAATTTCAAATTAGATAAAGCTCTTGTAGAAAGCTTTAATAATAAATATATCTTCAAGTCTTCATCCATAATATTATCAAGGACATAAATCTTAAAGAACTAAAAGATCATGATACTCCTGTATCATTTAAAAAGACTAGATAATCATTCAAAGATGATATAATATTAAACTAATATGGCCATTTCCAAAGACAAGAATACTAAAAAGTCTTAAAAACAAGACTAAGGACTAAAAAGGCATTGACAAGAATAAAAAAAGGCTTTATTCTTGCCTCCATATATACTCTTAATTAAGAATTATATAGCAATGTCCTATAAAACTTGCAAAACGTGTTGACTTTGCAAGACACATATCTTAACTTGCAAAGCAAGTTTTTTATATGTATATTATATAGTTAGCTTATTTTGTAAGCTATCAAGACATAGAGAACTTGTTGAACAAGTTTTTAACCTAATAATCAACTAAAAATACATGTAAAGACAAAGAAACATCTATAAAGCTTCTAAGAAGCTTTTCTAAAAAGTATTATGAAATAAATTTACTTTTATCTACTTCTACTTAATCATATAGATAAATATTAGAAAAAATATGTATATTTGTGACATTATCCATCTTTTTAGGAACAAGTTTTATGAGGAGTGGTGATCATATGTTGACAAAACCCAAGATGCAACAAATTGTGTTTGTCACATACTCTGATCTTTTTTTTCTTTGAAGATGGTTGATAGATCTTCTCTGCTATCATTAGTGTTCCATACCAAGGCAAGAAGACCACTATATTATTTGATCATTGTTGAGGCCTTTGTAACATCCTTTAAATAAAACATTTGAAACACCATCAGAAGTCATTCATACCTCTAATAAAATCATCAAACATAAGGAGTTTTTTTCAAGGTTGTAATATCAAACACATTCTATTTTACCATCTATTTGAAGAAAGACATGTCATTCTTGAGAATCTGCATCTTGATTATATCTTCTTAAAGGTTGTGACAATCACAATGTCTTATCTGATAAGTCAGCAAAAAAAAATGCTTGAGTTGAATTTTCTCATTTTTGCTTCTCCATCTCTTTAGCATCACAAATACTTAAAAATTAGAAATAAGAATAAAAGTTAGAATTGTGGTTGTTCCTTGCAATAAGCACTTGAATTGATCTTTTGTCATTCTTGAGCTTCGTTTAATTGTACTTTTATTATTGCTTGTAGCTTTGATATATAATTCTTTAAATTTTTTGCCACAAGATTATCAACTTTCGAAAAGTTAAAAATATCAAGTCATGGATGATAACTATAATTGACAAAGAAAGGTGTTTATTAAATAAAAAATTATATTGAATTATCATATTCTAATTCAGCCAATGGCAAAAGAGTTGTCTAATCATCTTAATAATAATTGATGATATACATCAAATATTGCTCTAGAACTTAATTCATTTATTTTGTTTGCCTATTAGTTTGAAGATGAAAAGTCAAAGAGATTTTTATATCCACCTTTAAAATCTTGAAAAGGATTTTTCAAAATCTAAATACAAATTAATTCATCCTATTTAATATAATAGCTTTAAATAATCTATGATAGTGATAGATATTATTAAGAAAAAACTTAGCCATTTTTTTAATAATGATAGTTCTTGTACTTAATACAAAATATACAATCTTGATAAAATAGTCTACTACTATAAATATAGAATTATACAAACTTGAGATATGAATATTTGTCATGAAATCCATAAAAACAAAAGATCATGGTTGTTTTAGAATAGATAATGGCTGAAGAAGTCTATAAAATCGATGACGAGGAGTTTTAAATCTTGAACAAATATTACATAATTATACAAAGTCTTTGACTACCTTTTACATTTGAAGCTACCAAAAATCTCTAAATATTAGCTTTAAAGTCTTGTTGTATCCAAAATATTTGATTGTTAAAAAATCATGACGAACTTAAAGAATTAATTTGCATTGGTTCTAGCCTTAATAAATAAGTTTCTAAAAACTTGAAAGTTACTATCATTACTTGAGTTACTCTTCTTTAGCTAAGTCTTTATTCTTGACGTCTTTCAAATAATTGATTGTTGCATGCAATGGCCTCTGTAATAAATTATTTTAAAGATTTTGCTTTTGGCATTTTTAATAAAAAAAAACTTTGATGTTATCCTTCAATCCACATCAAAATTGATTGATAAAGGCTTTATCATTCTAATCCATGTTACAAACAAGGTTTTGGAATTTAGTAGCATATATGGTAGTTGATTGTGATTTTTTTTAAAAAAAATAAGAGCTTAGTCTCTACTACTATTTCTTGATCATTTTTTTCCAAATAAAGCTATAAATACTTCTAAAAATGAATTCAAATCATAAAAGAGTCATAAATCCTTGTCCATCAAAGGTGCAAATCAAATCAAAGCACTTTGAGATAGAAGTGCACTTATGAATCCAACTTGAGTAAATCCATGAAGATATTGGAAGGAATGCAATCTTAGATAGAGCTTAACTTATTGTAAAAATCCTTGAAATTTTGATCTTTTTTCATGAAACTATTTTCACATACTAATCTTTATTCTTGTCGTACTTGTAGAAGCAAAACTTCTTAGATTTAGTTATGAGCTCAATTTACTTACTTTCTTCAACTGCACAATTTCTTGATATAGACTCTAAACTTCTTTTTAAGCATAGGATTAGTACTTCTATGGTTGATGCTCATGATGCATAAAATTTCTATGCTAAAAATGTCATAAATTTTTTAAAGATCACCAATAGTTACAAATTTATTTTAATTCCACCAAGTATAGCATCCATGATTTTTTCTTCTATTTCAAATAACTTAACAAATCCATAAGTTAAATTAAAAGAAAATAATCTGCAACTTCTAATATCAAATAAAAATTTCTATAAAGAAAGATAATCCACTTTCTTTAAAAAAAATATCAATGTTAAAAAACTAAATACTTTATTTAAAGGTGAGTAATCCATGACCTTTAAATTACAAGAATAGAAGTAGAATAATTCATTCACTTCTAAAAAAGACAAGAATAATAAATTACTATTCTGATCAAATTATCAAGGACATTAATCTTAAAGAGGTATAAGATCAAGACACTCTTATGTTACTCAAAAAGACTAAATAATTACTCAAAGATGATATAATATTAAACTAGAATGACTATTGCCAAAGACAAGAATACTAGAAAGTCTTGAAATAAGACTAAGGACTAAAAAGACATTGACAAGAGTGAAGAAGGCTTTACTCTTGCCTCCATATATACTCTTAACAAGAAGCTATATGGTGATGTCTTATAGGACTTTCAAAATGTATTGACTTTGCAAGATACATATCTTAACTTGTAAGGCAAGTTTTTTATATGTATGTCACATAGTTAGCTTGTTTTACAAGCTAACAACACATGGTTAACTTGTTGACCAAATTTCTAACCTACCAATCAATTACATGCACATGTAAAGTCGAAATAGCGCTATGAAGGTTCTAAAAAGCTTTTCTAAAAAATATTATGAAATAAGTATATTTTTATTTACTTCAATTTAATCCTATAGATAAATATTAAAGTAAATATGTATATTTGTGAAAAAAAATTATCATTTTTTTAAAAAATAAGAATTGAATAAAAAAGAAACCAAAGGCCAAAGTAATATTGATAATTTAACTAGATTCGTACTTATTAGAATTTTTTTTTCTAGCAATGCTATATTAATAGTATTTTTAATGTTCTTGACATAGTTTTAAATGGCTTTAATATACATATCATCTATTATAAATTAACTAAAATAATAATAAAATTAGCTTATTAAATACCAAACTATACTTTTTATTCATTTCTTCAATAATTTTTTAAAATTATGTTAAGATAATTTGTGATGTTTTTTTAGGATTAATTTTTTTTCAATTGAAATTAATTGACTTTGGAGATTCATTGCACATTTTACATATTAGACCTTTATTCTAGGTCATTTAATTTTTATCTTCCAATGTTTTGGTGTCACAAGTTTATATTAATGGTATTAAAGATTTTAAACAAAAATCTCTTCTTAAATACATAAATATTACTTAATAAGATTAGTCATTATTTAATAATTAATATCATCCATTTAAAATCATATGAAATAACATTAGAAGAACCACTAATATGAAGTTGATAAAAACT